CTCCCCTGGCACTGCCACAGGCTGACAATCTCATCTCCCTGCTTCCTCCATAATTTCTTCTAATCTAGTCCCCAGGGTGAAGCCTAAGTGGTCTTTGAAATGTCAAATCAGAATCAAGTTTCTCCCCTACTCAAAACCTATCACTTCTTCTCCTTGCCCTGGAATAAGTAAAACTTCAGCTCCTCCCCTTGGCTTTCAAGCCCTGCCAGCCATCACCCTGCAAGCTAAACTTTAATGACACTGGGCCTCCTTCAGCCCCAGACACACAGAGTCCTTGCCTGCCTCCGGGCCTTTGCAGGTGCTGTACTCTGTATAGAAACACTCTCCCACCACCGAGAGAGACAGCACATGGGAGGAGGAGGACATCATTTGTCTCTTTGCTGGTTCTGTGACCTGTTCCAGGTCCTGGATGGTAAGTCACCTCCTCAACATGACCCTCCCTCTAAAGTACATCTTCCAGTACCACCTCTCAACACGGTTTGTTCTGTTGAAGCAGTTACTCCCAAGCAGGACAAGCTTCTAATCAGCCACTGCGTCCCACCCGGAGTCCGGGCATCAGCCCACAGACCCACTCCAAGTGGCCGCCATGTGGCCTCTCAGGCCTCCCTGATCAACCCAAACCATCCTAGTCCACTTTCACCTCTCAGAGCCTGAGCTCCCCCAGGGAATGAGCTATGCTGATCTCACCAGCACTGTATCACCCGCACCCAGCAGCAAGCCTGGCACATGGCAGGTCCCCAACAAGACACTCCCCATACAAATGAGTCGTGAGATCTGAAACGCATTTAAGGTTTTGGAACAAACTTTCTCCCAAGACCAAGTGCCATTCAAAAAAAGCAATGAAGAGAACAGTTGAGCATGGCATATGTTTAAGATTTTTAATCGCATATTTAAGGATAAAAAAATGAAATTGTCTTGTACTCATTTTCTTTTTATATAAAGAGGAGCTTAAAACCACTCAGCGTGAAAAAAAGAATGAAGTTCTGTAGTGTGGCAAATAAAAGAGAGAAGGGTGGGGACTGAGAGGGGAAAGGAGGCTGTGGTTCAGAAACAGAAACAGATACAGAGATAAAGAGTGAGAGATCAGAGAAGCTGGCGGGAGCATTCGGGCAAGTACAGAGCAGGCTACGCTGCTCTTCTGGGTACGAAAGGGCGGCGCTCCAGATTCCAGAAGGAGTTTTCACACTCCCTTGAAGGTTAAGGGCAGCAATCCTCTTAAAGTCCACTCTTTTCTTCATTTTTCAGAGAAGTTTTTATTTTTTTAAACTGACTTCCCACGCTAAAACTGGGAACTAGAATGACTTATTTTGAAAAAACGTAATCTATTCAAATGACTTTTTAAAAAGACTCCAAGTTTTGTCTTTTAAGGAGACTTGGCTACAAGTTTCAAAGTCATATATTGGATTTTCCAAGTTACGGGCACCTGGGCCAGTTGTGGGGGCTCACACTGTAATCCCAACACTTTGGGAGGATGAGGCGGTAGGATCACTTGAGTCCAGGAGTTCAAGACCAGCCTGAGCAACATAAGGAGCTCATGTCTCTACAAAAAAGGAAAAAATTAGCTGGGCATGGTGGCACACGCCTGTAGTGCCAGCTACTCAGGAGGCTGAGGTGGGAGGATCACTTGAGCTCAGACATTCAAGGCAGCAGTGAGCAACGATCAGGTCACTTCACTCTAGCCTGGATGACAAAGCAAGATCCTATCTCTAAAAATAAACAAACAACCAAAGTCACAGGTGGAAAGAGGGAAGGGTCCTTGGGAGCTATCAGAGGGAGAGGCACAAACTTCAGGGACTGCCTAGCAGTTGTCTCCTGGACTGTACACTCAGCCTATTCCCTTCCTCTGGAAATTTCTAGGGCCCAGCCCCTGATGAATGGGTGAGCCGAGCCTCACTCCTCATGCAGCCCAACCTCACAGGCCACAGCCAACTGGACCAATGAGCAGCACCCTCCCAAGCCAGGGCCAATCAGCATCTCCCTAAGAATCAGGACTTAGACTCCAATGAGGTGGAAACACAGCTCATACTGGAACAGCATGTAAAACTAGGGGGAAGGGAGTGGTCCACAGGAGGCATGGGCGTTTTCCCATCAGGCTTTCTCTGCCTGATGAAGAAATGAGAAGTGACAAGTGAGAAGGAGGAAAAGCCCGTCTGCAAAGAGATGTGGATGACCAGCTCTACTGTGCCGCAAGTAGCGCTTGTAGGATCCAAATCCCAGTTCACCATTTAATAGCCATGACCTTCAACAAGTCCTTGACCGCTCCTTGACCTCTTACCTGCATCATAAGGCTCTTTTGAGTATTAATTAAGTTAACACTTATACAGCACTTGGAACAGGGTCTCACATGCAGCAAATGCTTTCTAAGTGTTTATTATTACTATCATCTTGCCAAAATGTAAGCTCATGATGGTGAGAATTTCCAGCTGTTTTGTTCATATCATAACCCAGAACCTAGCACCATGCCTGGTATATAGCAGGTGCTCAATAAACACCTTTTGAGTGATCAGTGAATGAAGATACCACACAGCTAGAAATGGATACAGATTCTCTCTCCTTAAGACTTAAGATTGTTCGGCCAATTCATTTAACGAGCAAATTCGTTCTCCAAGTATTTGTTGAATGCCTACTATGTTTATAGTGGCAAACTGTGCTTGGTGCTGATATACAATGAAGAATAAGAAGAAAGTTGTGGTCTCTTTTAAACAAAGCTCATGGTCTAGGACAGAAAAAGACATTGACAAAATAATTATGCAAATAGTAGAATTACAAGCAGTGGCAGGTGCATGAAGGAAAGGTGCATGGAGCTCTGGACGTGTAAAACAGAGCAGCTGGCCAGGCACGGTGGCTCATGCCTGTAATCCCAGCACTTTGAGAGGCTGAGGCGGATGGATCACAAGGTCCAGAGTTCAAGACCAGCTTGGCCAGCATGGTGAAACCCTGTCTCTACTAAAAATACAAAAATTAGCCAGGCATGGTGGCGCATACCTGTAATCCCAGCTATTCAGGAGGCCGAGGCAAGGGGAATCACTTGAACCCAGGAGGCAGAGGTTGCAGTGAACCAATATGCCACTGCACTCCAGTCTGGGTGACAAAGTGAGACTCTGTCTTAATTTTTAAAAAATTACATAAGGCAATTGCTCTCAGGATTGGATGGCAGGAAGCAGAAGGCTGCAGTCCCCAAAGGTGAGGAAGTGCACAGGTGAGCCCATCTTCACTTCAGCTCTCTGCCTGGGGACAGCTCCCCGCCACTTGCAGAGAGCAGCATCTGAGCTGAGCACGGTGGTCCCACTGAGCTGAGGATTTCCTAAAATAAATCCTAGATGTCTGGCACCACTCAGAGTGCCAGGCTGTGGAAGCCTCTAGAATCAGTGGCATCAGAGAGGAGGAAGCTGCCAGGGAAGACCTCAAGTCTTTGGCCAAGGGCTGGGCTGTGTAAGCACAGGGAGAGATGGTGCAAGCTTTACCAGAGAGGGGCTGCTATGGGGTAAAGAGAACAGAGAGACTTAGAGTGAAGTGGAGCTGGCATCTGGGAATTCCAGCCCACCAGATTCAAGAGACCTCCCCACCAAGCATCCAAAAAGTCCATGCCTTCAGAACAAGCAGATGCCTCAGAGGAAGAGCTACTAATGGGGCCTAAAACCAACCCTCAAATAAAACGCAGAGAAGAGAGTTTAAAAACTAAGCCCCATCAAGTTAGATACACCTTGAGCCTTCCACAGATCCACCCTGACAAAGTGCAAAATAAAGCTCAGAATGTCTATCATACCCAGCATATATCGTCACCATGTCAGAGTGCAGTCGACAACTACCAGACAGGCAACGAAACAGGAAATTGGGACTCATGGTCAAGAAACAAAAAACTCAGTAGAAACAGATTCCAAGATGTCTGCGATATCCAATTAAAAAAGCAATTGTCAAGACTTACACGTTGTTAATATTATCATAGATGTCCTTAATCAGAGGTACACACCCAAAAGGCCTATGGAGATTTGGGGGGGTTGGGGTTTTTCACTTGTTTGTTTGTTTACCTGGGACTTACTCATGCTCTGTAGTTTCTAATTAAGTAGTTTCAGAATGCCCAACAATCTGAATTTTTAAGAACCACCCTAGAGTTTCTGATGTACACTACAGATTAAGAACCAGGTTTTTATTATATTAATAGAATACTTCCACTTTAAGGCAAATACCAAAAATTCAAGTTATATTAATTTAAATATATTAAAGGTTCTGGTTAATTGACTTGGTTAGTGGGCACCAATCAGTTGTTCCTGGTTAACCAGATTATATAATTAAAAATATTTCAACTCCAACTATTTTGGGGATAAATAAGCGTACTTCCTTACTTATTTTGAAAAAAAAAAATCTGAGGTTAAATGAAAAGCCACAGGCACACAAAAGGAGATACTGATTAATAAAAAAACAAAAGGAAATGCTCATGGCAAAACATAAAATTAAAAGATCAGAGTACAATCTACATGTTTGCTACAGAATTAAGTATAGAAATATATGGTAAGAGGCTGCCATGTTTGTGAATTAAAAAAAGAAAGGAAGTATATCAAAATACTAATGTAGCTTTTTAAGGTAGTTTGATAATATATAGTTTTAATTTTCTTACTTTTCTGCATTTTACAAGATTTAGTATTTTTTATTAATGAACTCTTTATCTGAAACTTAAGATGATGGCTTCAGAAACCTGTGAGTCAACACACAAACCTCTACAAAGCTCTAGAAGTTTCTCCATCAGAACGAAAAAGGAAGAAGCATCCAGGCACATGAATATCATTTCTATCCTTATCCAGCTCAGAAGGCTTTCTCCTCTGGCTTATGAGTCGCTGGATTAGCTTCTGATGCTAACTTAATCTCAGATTTCTCATTCCTCAAAGGAGTAAGAGGCTGAGACACACACCTCATCTTAACAAGCAACAAATAGTGGGTCAAGCAGAAGTGAATCACTTAGTAACAAACACCACACACAAAAGGAAGAGCATTCGAGTCCATACCTGAACCACAGGGTGGCCCCCAGTTGGCGCTTTGACAGCCCCTCGGCTGCCTTCTGTCTCATAGTGGGCCCGGTGATGTGGCTTGGGCTGCACCTCGATCCGCAGCTCATAAGAGCCTGACTGACTGGAGAGCGGCCACTCAAGCGGAGGGAGGGATGCAGTCACTGGGATGCTGAAGAAGAAAATAAAATCAGCTCTGCGTGCTATGAACCAGAATCAGTTAACTTGTACAATAATTGTAAATGGCCCCTTTTCTGAAAATCATGGATATGGTCATGTGTTGCTTAACAGCGAGGATACGTTCTAAGAAATGCACCATTATGTGAAAATCAGAGTGCACTTACATCAACCAAGATGGCACAGCCTACTACATACCTACACTATATGGTATAGTGGTTCCTAGGCTACAAACCTATACAGCATGTGGCTGTACTGAATACTGTAGGCAATGGTAACACAATGGGAAGTATTTGTATATCTAAACATATCTAAACACAGAAAAGTTACCATAAAAATACAGTATTAAGGCTGGGCATGGTGGCTCATGCCTGTAATCCTAGCACTTTGCGAGGCCATGGATCACTTAAGCCCAAGAATTTGAGGACAGCCTGGGCAACATGGAGAGACCCTGTCTCTACTAAAAATACAAAAAAGTCAGCCACGCATGGTGTCACATGCCCATAGTCCCAGCTACCTGGAACACTGAGGTAGGAAGATCCTCTGCGTCCAGGAAGTCAAGGTTGCAGTGAGCTGTGATTGCACCACTGCACTCTAGTCTGGAGACCAGAGTGAGACCCTGTCTGAAAAACAAAAACAAAACCCGCAAAGTTGGGTGCAGTGGCTCATGCCTTTAATTCCAACACTATTGGAGGCTGAGGTGGGCAGATCACTTGAGGCCAGGAGTTCAAGACCAGCCAGGCCAACATGGTGAAACTCTGTCTCTACTAAAAATATGAAAAATTAGTTGGGCATGGTGGCACATGCCTGTAATCCAGCTACTCAGGAGGCTGAGGCACAAGAGTCACTTGAACCTGGGAGGTAGAGGTGGCAGCCAGCCGAGATCACACCACTGCACTTTTGCCTCGGTCACAGAGAGACTCTGTCTCAAAAAGACAAAAACAAAATAGTATTAAAATCTTATGGGACTGCCCCCATATATGGGGCCCATCACTAATGAAAATGTGGTCATGGGGGGTATGATTGCATGTGAACAAAATGCTGAGGCAGTACGTATTTCTCAGACATGACAGGAAGACCTATTCGCAGGGTCGAGATCTTCCACCTTGATGAAGACGGTGTGAGCAACTTCTCAACTAATGAAGTTTATGTTAATTCTAGCATGTTTCTAGCTGCTGTAGCTTCTTTTCCCCTGGAAATTTTGAAAACCGTCACTATGGATTTCTGTCACTATGCATGAATTTATGTCACTATGTCCTGATGTTTCACATATGGCAGAAATCATTCATCAGAGTATTCTTTCCCACTTAGCTCAGGGGTGCTAGGAGCTGACACTATCAACTGGGCTTGGTTAAGCACTTGCAGTAAAGCCAATTTCTGTGTTCTCTATCACAGCAGTACCACGGGGAGCACAAGAGATAGCCCCTCTGTAAACTTTATCCATGCCAGAGTTCAATTTCAACATTTCATCCAACTTACGATCACATCCTCACTATGCAAGCAAATCTCCTCCCCTTCTTTCCAACCAGACTACCTCCTGAAATCCCTCTTACCCTGTAGTCTCAGGGTATCCAAAGGACCTTTATTTTACCTTCGTTACAGTGCCAAGATGCCTTCAAGCTTCTGACTGTGACCAACGAGCTACACGTGTCAAACACGTTTATCCGCATCATATAAGCAAGTGAAAAGTTTTTAAAGGTTGACAAACTAAGACTCAGTAAAAAATCATGTTAGTCCTGTATTAATATGCTTTAACGCATCAAAAATGTTGTGAGAAGAAAATTCAGTGGCATATCCCCAGGTTTCAATTTATAATTTTGTTTGGTTCTGAAATAGGTATTTGACACTGAAATACAATCTTAAGAAGTAGTGCATCAGAGCCAGCCTGAAATTCTAATTTGGATTCCGGCCCTCTGCTAAGTTGTCTCTATACCCTGAGGTCAATGTTACCAGGAGACTTCCCTGATGCCCCATCCTCTCAACTTTATAGAAGGTTCTTGCAAAGATGACATTGGCTGGCACAGATTGGTACTTGTAAAGAACTAAAGGACTCTAACACTCAAAACCTCTCCAATCAAGATGTCTCACGTAGAGGAAAGGATTTTAGAAACAATAAAGTCCTCAATAAAAGTATCATAATCATATTTTACAGCAGTGTCCCTTCCCACTCTCAACCATTAAATAAAATCATGGTTTGGAGACTGATCTGTCTATGCAGCACAAAAAACAAGGAGTTAGGAATCCCAGATTCTCATTTTCAATGCAGTCATTAACTAGCTGGCGATCATGGGGCTTGTCACTTCACCTCTCTCAGCCCAAATTTCTCAATCTGTACCAGGGGTTAGTCTTGATCAGCATTTTCTAAGACACCCCTGTGAAACTTCTGACACAGAACTCTGTAACCAAATGGCCTTTGAAATCACCGCATACTCTGTCCACATTAAAGTCTCTGAGAAGGCCTGCACACAGGCACCTTCTTAACTCTGTTAAAATCAGAAACTCCTTTTCTTGAGAAACAACAGCTGACCTACTGCGGCCCTGGTGCTCTGAGAACCTGCTTTGGAGGAAACTCCAGGCTGGATGCTCCCTGCAGTCCATTTTAGTCTGGTACGGGGTGAGCACAGCCCAGCGGGCAGGGCCCGAGGCCACCCTCAACCCCACACCAATCAAAAGAGCTCCACCTTTGGGGACTCATTTTTTATTTTTTATTTTTTTTTGAGGTAGAGCCTCAATTTGTCGCCCAGGCTGGAGACAATCTTGGCTCACTGCAACCTCCACTTTCCAAGTTCAAGCAATTCTTCCACCTCAGCTTCCCAAGTAGCTGGGATTACAGGCGCACGCCACCACGCCCAGCTAATTTTTGTATTTTTAGTAGAGATGGGTTTTCACCATGTTGGCCAGGCTGGTCTTGAATTTGCAACCTCAGGTGATCCACCCACCTCAGCCTCCCAAAGCGCTGGGATTATAGGCGTTAGCCACGGCACCCAGCCTCTTTGGGGACTCAATTTAATATTGGGAGTAAAAGGCTTCCATTTCCTAAAATAAAAAATAACTTGAAAACCACAGAGATGATAGCAAGAGTCTTCCAATTCCTCTTCAAATTGAACAGATAGGATAATCTCTGTCCTTAGCCTTCATGTACCTCCTTTCATCATTAGACCAAAATGAAGACAAAAAGTAATACAAGCCAAGTTTCTGTGAGAATTAAATGAAATAATACATACAGAGAGCGCAATTCATCCTCTGTAACCATGGGTTCTATGTCCTTTGATTGAAAATATTCAGAAAAAAAAAATTCCGCAAAGTTCCAAAAAGCAAAATTGGAATTTTCCATGCTGCAGTTTCTACATGGAGTTCCCATGAATGAAGTGATGTGCAGACATTGTATTCGGTATTATAAGGTATTATCATCTAGAGATAATGTAATGTACATGGGAAGATGTGCACAGGTTACATGCAAATACTATACCGCTTTACATAAGGGGCCTGAGCATCCTCGGATTTTGGTATCCCAGAATACCACTGCACAGGCTCTAGGCTAAGCGTTTGACGTATATAATCTCATCTAATCCTTTTTTAAAAAGCCACAAGGTACGTTCTTGTATCTTCTTCTCACAGGGAATAAACCAAGACCAGAAAGGTGCTCAGTAAAAATGGGGAGCAGGGGGAAGGTCCTGATTGATTAGTGATGTCTGCCCTGGGCATGGCATCAAAAGGTGTTCAATGAGAAAGAGGGTGCTGACTGATTAGCAATGTCTTTCACAAGCAGAAAGGCAGCAGAGATGCCCATGTTCACTCAGGTAGCGAGTGGCAGAGACAGGACTCAAATTGAGCCTTAGGAGACTCCAAAGCCTATACGTGATGCGCCAGCTACGTCCATCTCTTCAGCTTACCAAGATCTTAAGCTCCTTGACTCACACATCTCTTTTTTTTAGGGCCTCCATATAACTGGGACACACAGCAGATACTAACAAACATCAGTCCCTCTTATAAATGAGACAGATTTTACATATTAAGACTTGCTTTGTGCCTACCAGAATGTCAGCTCCACAAAGGTAGAAATTTTTGCCTGTTTACTTCACCACTGTCTCTCTATTACTTATATAACAGAATCTGGCACCTAGTAGATGTTCGATAAACACTTTTTGAATAAATGAATAAACGAGGTGCCACCATACGAGCAATTGCATTTTTCATGACTGCATCCTCATAACCACCTGGTGAGTCAGGTCCACTAATTATATCCATTTTACAGATGAGAAAAACATGGCCCAGAGAATTTAACTTCCTCCTCAGGGTCTGGCAACAAGCAAGGCGCCAATCCACTCGACTCTGAATCCCATGCTCATAACCAGAAAACCACCTCTTAAAACTAAACCACGGAATCCATCATCTTCAAAGCCCTGCTCACCTGCAGATGGGAATGGCAGGCACCAGCTGCTTGGGCCAAGTGGGTGGGACCAGCAGGATGGATTCCGGAGCCGAGTTTCTCCTCTCCTCCTGCTCGCAGGGCCCCAGGAACTCCACGGCCGGGTAGAGGTGGCGGGGCAGGCCGGCCTTGGATGGGGCGGCGGACACCGGCGAGGGGTCAGGGCTGGTCTTCCACATCTTGGGGGGGATCCCACAAGGCGAGTCCGTGGCGAGGCTGTTCAGGGCATCCATGATCACTGCAGAGCCAGCCACAGGGGGGTACCCAGCCGGGGCGCCGTGGTCCTGGGATGCCACGTGAGATGAGGGCTGCGGCGAGGGGCTCCGGGAGCGCTGGGGTGAGGCTCCGGGCAGCGGGGCAACCAAGGCCTCGGCGCACGAATGCCTCCGCTTGGCACCAGGCGACGAGGAGCGAGAGGCCGGACGGGGCACGGGCGAGTGGCGGCCCAGGCAGCTGTCCTCGGCGAGGCTGGTTCGAGGTGACATTATTGGCGAGGTTCTGGGGGAATAATGAGCAGGGATGTTTTGAAACTGCGGACACAGGTCGTCGGGCCCGCCGTTATTGGGCGAGACGCAGGGCGAGGTGTAGGGGGAGAAGGTGTCAGAAATGAAGCTGGCAGAGGAGCCGCTGCTAGCGGGGCTCAAGCAAAGCGGCTCGCGGTAGCCCTCGAAGCCGGGCACAGGCAGCGTGAACCTCGGGCTGGCGGCCACCCCGGCCAGGGGCACCTGCTCCACGCCCGCGTCTCTCATGCGGAGGGGCCCCCCTGCCTGGATCAGTTCGTGGGACGGAGTGATCTCGATCCGAGGGCTCAGGCCCGAGGCCCCTGCTGGCTTGGCCGGGCTCAGAAAGTTCTGCGGCCCTACCCTATCGGGCTCTGCGAATCGGCCGGGGGGCTCGCCCGGGAGACTGGTAAAGGGGCTGTATGGCTTGAGGCCATAGTCCAGGACATCATCGGGGTATGCGGGTCCGGAGGGTGGGCTGACGACCTTATGTGCATTCGGCTCTTCTGGAAAGAGAAGGGGGGAGGGGGGTCTTTTTAAGCCTCAAAAACAGAACTCCCAGTGCAGAGCAATCACAGGTTGGGTTTTGTCTCACATTATCTTTTTTTTTTTTTTCCCAAATTCCCACCATGCCAAATCCCGGGCTAGAAGCTCTGTCCCTCACCAGAAGGAAACTGAGGCCACTTTGTCCCAGATCCCTGGAGAAGAGAGGTTGAAGCAGAGTTAAGTTCTGGAAGACCCCTGGGTGAAGGGCCTCCAAACTCGGGTTTCAATGTAACGATTCCGAGAAGTACACGGTTATCTCACGACCCCACTCACACCACCGCATACACCCACAGATGAAATGAACGCCGCCCAGGTCAATACTTACCCTGCTGCATATGACACCCCGGACCCTCCCTACTGTCTGACTGATTTTGCTTCAACGCTGGTCACAACCCATTAGATGGATTTCCTAACCCACCAGCACAATGAATCAGGACCTGGAGTTTGAAAAGCAGTGATCTAGGACCTACGGCAGCGCTCTACACTCGTGACAGGTTGTGGGACACCTCTGCCGCCCACGGTGCCCTGGGCTTGAATCCCAGATTGCACACCAAGTGCAAGAAGTGGCTTCATTTAGAACCAGGGCTCCTGACTCATGTCTCATCTGTGTCATTTTACAAATGAGGAAACTGAGGCCCAGAGTGGGGAAAGGATCCACCAAAAGATATGGGATTCGTTGGCTTAAAAATACCACAGCCAAACCACTTGTCCCCAACAGGCAGGGTCACTGCTACAGAGGTTACCTGACACCCCAACTATCAAAACCAGTGGGTACAGGCTGGGCACAGTGGCTCACACCTGTAATCTCAGCACTTTGGGAGGCTGAGGTGGGCAGTTCACTTGAGGCCAGGAGTTTGAGACGGGCCTGGCCAACATGGTGAAACCCCGTTTCTACTAAAAATACAAAATTTAGCCAGGCATGGTGATGGGTGCCTGTAATCCCAGCTACTCTGGAGGCTGAGGCATGAAATTGCTTGAATCCAGGAAGCAGAGGTTTCAATGGGCTGAGACTGGGACACTGCACTCTAGCCTGGGCAACAGAGCAAGACTCCGTCTCAGAAAAAAAAGTCCATTCTCAAAACCTACTATAAAGGCTTCCGGACACTTTAGATGGGGCCTACAGTCATTAACACAGCACGTGCCCTGGCCTGCCACCCACCCCCGCCACTCCCTACACTTCTCCCCACACTGGGTCAGCAACAGCCCCGTCAACATCTTCACTGCACTTAAACTGCTCCTGCCTCAGAGGCCTTGGGTTCCCTCCCTGCGAGATTCTCCTACTTCCTGTGGTTCCTTCCTGCATCTGCTCAGCCAGCACCTCCGGAGATCGGCCCATCAAAGAGATCCCCTCCACCCCTTTTCCTTGCCATCTTTTCTCCACTGACATCTGTTACCAGCTCACATTGCTCCAGGTATCTGTTTAGGGAATCTCATTCTGCTAAACCAGGAGCAGGCAAACCACAGACCACTGGGTTGTGTTTGTTAACAGTTTTATGACAACACGGCCTGCCTGTTTATTTACACAGGGTGAACAGCGTGCTCCCGTACGACAGCAGCAGAGTTGGTAGTTATGATAAAGACCGAATGGCCTCCAGAGCCGGCAGTATTTACTCCCTGGCCCTTTAGAGAATTTTGCAACCCCACACTGGACCCTGAGCTCCGTCAGGGCTGGGCCCGGGTCACTGTGGCCCAGCAGTGTCCGTCAAGCACCTACCACAGGCCCTGGCACTTGCCAGCCCTCCGTCAACATCTGCCGAGTGGCTAAGAGCGTAAGCAAATGGAAGAACCACGTCCAGGGGCCCACCAGCCAGAAACCGGACCTTTGCCTGTGGTTGTCCGGCTGACTCCTGCTTTGGGGGACCCCAGGTGGCCACTCCAGCAACCTCAGCCTCCTTGTGCCCTTTCTGGGCTGTCCTAGAGGAAGTACTGCCCACTTTAGCTAAGCTGATCTCTTAGGGTCCAGAAGGTGCCCCCATTCCCAAAGGGGCTCCCCACAGCTCCTAGGTAAAAATAAATGACCCCCGCCAGGCAGCCTCGCTGGGTCCTGCCTGCTCACCTACTCTCGCTTGCATTCACTCTCTCCACTCCCTCTCTCTGAGCTCATGCCAAAAGGGAGTGTCGTGATTTTTGTTTTCTTTTTGTTTGGAGGCAGGGACTCACTCAGTTGCCCAGGTTGAAGTGCAGTGGCACAGTAACAGCTCACTGCAGCCTCGACCTCCCAGGCTCAAGCGATCCTCCCACTCAGCCTCCTGAGTAGCTGGGACTACCAGTGTACCCCACCAGGCTCAGCTAATTTTTTTTATTTTTATTTTTAGTAGAGATGAGTTCTCACTATGCTGCCCAGGCTGCTCTCAAACCCCTGAGCTCAAGTGATCCTCCCACCTCAGCTCCCCAAGGTGCCAGGATTACAGGTATAAGCCACCATGCCTGGCAAAGGGGAGTTTTTTTAAAAGCATCGAGCTCCTTCCTGCCCCAGGGCCTTTCTACTTGCTGCTCTCCTGCCTCAACAGCTCCTCCTCAACGCACTACCAGGCCCCCTTCTCCACATGACTAAAGGCCACTCATGCCCATGAGCTCAGCTTAAATGCCACATGCTTCTAGAAGGACCCCTGACCACTTGACTAGCTCAGGCCCCACTCACAGGCCCCTGCTGTGTTCTGTGCACATCTCACTGTAACAACTGAGGAACTGTAGAGTCCTCCACTTCCCTCAACCTCCAGTCTGCCCCTCCCTCAACCTCAAGATCTGCCCCCACCAATCCACTAACGCCATGAGGACTCTTGCTCTGCCATGCCCCTAGCACTTGGATGGGATCGGCCACTGAACACACACTCAAAAACGATTCGTTGGCTGAATGAATGATGCAAGCTCAGAAACATCTACCTGGAATATTTAAACTATTACTCAAAGATGCTAATATCCAAACCAAAAGATAGAAGGCTAAGACGTCTACAGAGGGTAATTTGGTAATACCCATCAAAATTCCAAACACACGTGCCCTTGGAACCACACAATGCTACTTTTAGAAATTCATCCTGGGCTAGTCACAGTAATTCATGCCTGGAATCCCAACCCTTCGGGAGCCAGAGGTGGGAAGATCGCTTGAGCTCAGGAGTTTGAGATCAGCCTGGGCAATATACAGACTCCATCTCTACAAAAAAAAAAAAAAATTTAAATTAGCTGGGCAGGGTGGCACCTGCCTGTCGTCCCAGCTACTGGAGAAGCTAAGGTGAAAGGATGAAGGCTGCAGTGAGCTATGATCACGCCACTTCCTCCCAGCCTGGACGACAGGACAAGATCCTGTCTCAAAAAAAAAATTTTCTTCCTGCAGATATACTCTCATCTGTGCAAAATGACTTGTGTATCCTTAAGATTAGTTACTTCAGCCCTGATTGTAATCCCAAAAGACTGGAAGTAACCCAAAGCCCATCTATTGGGGATGAATTAATTCTGGCTCATTCATATGATGGGATACAATACAGCTACAAGAAGGCCTGAAGAAGTTCTTTATACATTGACATGGAATGACCACTAAGATTTAGTATAACAGGAGAAAAGCAAGCTGTATAGTGTGCACAGCATAAAAAGGGTGAGAGGATGTACACACTCAGATGTACAGATAGATGTACACAGACGTATACAGATATACACATACACAGATGCACACAGATACACACACAGATGTACACACAAAGACAGATGTACACGCACAGCTGATGGAGGCACAGGCTTTCTCTGGAAGTCACAGGTAATAGTGACATCCTCCAGGGAGGGAAACTAAGGAACGAGGGGACAGTGACTTGAGAGAAAGGAGGCTTTTTATTTCTGTAATTATATAAGAAAAGAAATGTAACTCCCAGAAGAAACATTTTAAATCTTATTTCTTAGGTGGTAGGTGACATAACATGATATATAGTAATGAAACCCTGTTTTATGAAGCAGGAAATTGAGAGTGCGGTCCTTCTCTGCCACTAAGTAACAGCATGACTTTGGAAAAGTCCCCCACCCACTGGAGGCCTCAACCCTTTCTCATTTGTAACTGAACAGCATTAAATTGAATCAGTTTCCTTGGTGGCTTCTGGCTCTGAAATCCTTAGATTTTTCTAGCTAGCATCTGTAAGGCTTAGGGTTCTTGTGAAGCTGTAGTTCAACGTAAATGTGTATTTGAATTCACACAGATAACACACACACGCCTTCCTAGAAGGTAACCAGACATAGATTTTTAATCTAGGAAAAGATGGATGTCAAATCTATGGCCAACAACATTCTGAGAATTCACTGCCCTTCAAACCAGAAACACAAAACACAAAAAAATCTCTTAGCAAAAATTCCGGCCATATCAGAAAAGCTGCACTGCATCTTATCAGAAACACACCCTCAGGCTGAAGTCAACAGTCCGCAGAAACACTGCCCTGAAAACACACATCACTCACACTCCCTGGGAGCACTGAAAACAGAATGCTCCAGTGCGCCGGGCAGAAGTATTTAAAGCATTTACATTGGTTTTCATCAATCCAAGTGGCAGAAATTTTTTTTTCTCTTGACAAGACTTTGAATGTTTACCAGCGAGCGGGGAATATGAAGATAATTAATAATCATTTAATTCTCAGTCCCCTGGGCATTTGACAGTAAATTTCACAAATAGCACATCATTAAAATATTTCTTTCACTTAGTGGCTGAGATTCCTCGTTATTTCTCCTTCAACAACTGCCACGCCCGCAGACAGCTTTCTTACTGGCATCGCGATGCCTGCACGGCACTGGGTGAAGCTGGTTTCATCTCAGAACCGCCAAATGCTCTCAGGAGGGTTTCCAAAAAGCTTGCTTTCATTTAACCACGTGCACCATCTTTGCTCTGTCCATGTGCCGCCGATAAACATTGACTTAATATTTCTAGTATTTAAATTCACTTTTTTTTTTATTTTAAAAAGAAACTTTATACCACTACTGCAGATGGAAA